CACCGTTCCCCTCCTGCCCTTACTCTCCAATAAATTCCTCCTGTTACCTCCCCTCTGTTTCTTCCTTATACCTCCCCAATGCATTTCCTCTCCTGTACCTCCCCAATTCCTCCTCTGTATACCTCCCACTAGCTCCTCCCTTGTACCTCCCAGCAAGTTCCTCCCTGTATTCCTCCCACAAGTTTCCTCTTTGTATACCTCCCCATCTAAGTACCTCCCTGTATACCTCCTCACCAATTTCCTCCCCTGTGCCTACCCTTCAAGTTGCTCCTGTATGCCTCCCCAATAAGTTCCCTCCTGCCTTTCCTCCCACCAGAGTTTCCTCCTGTATACCTCCCCACCAATTTCTCCCTGTACCTCCCACCATTCTCACCTGTTGTATGCCTCCCCACAAGTTCCCCTCCTTGCCCCTCCCCACCAATTCCTCCCCATACCTCCCCTCACCAAGTTTCTTCCCATACCTCCCCACCAAGTCTCCTTTATACCTCCCCCCCAGTCTTCCCCACCCAAGTTCCCTCCCTTGTATACCTCCCCACCCAAGTTCCCCTTAGCCTCCCAAGTTCCTCCCCTTTGTTCCCCACCAGTCCCTCCCCCTGATACCTCCCCACCAAGTTCCCTTTATACCTCCCCACCAAGTTCCTCCTGTATAACTCTAAGTTCTCCCCTGTACCTCCCCACCAAGTTCCTCCCCCATACACCCCACCAAGTCTCCTTTTATACCTCACACCAAGTTCCTCCCCTGCACCTCATAAGTTCCTCCCCCTGATACCTCCCCACCAAGTTCCCTTTATACCTCGCCACCAAGTTCCTCCCAGTGCACTCTCCCCATCAATTTCTCCCCCTGAACACTCCCACCAAGTTCCTTATACCTCCCCACCAAGTTCTCCCCTGTATGCCTCCCCCATAAGTTCCTCCCCTGTATACCTCCCTCCAAGTTCTTCTGTATACCCTCCCTAAGTTCCTCCCTGTATACCCTCACCAAGTTCCCTGTATAATCCTCCCCATAAGGTCCTCTGTTACCTCCCCCTCCAAGTTCCTTCCCTGTATACCCTCCCCACCAAGCTCCCCCTGTACCCCACCAAGTCTCTGTACACCGCCCCAATAAGTTCCTCCTACACCTGTATCCTCCTCCCTTTACATCCTCCCCAGCAATTTCCTCACCTGTACACCTCCCCACCAAGTTCCTCCCTGTATACTCCCCACCGTCCTCCCCTGTATACCCCAAGTCCCTCCCTCATATACCTCCTAACTCCCACACTCCCCAGCACCTCACCCAGACACCTCCCCACCAAGTTCCTCCCCTGTATACCTCCCCACCAAGTTCCTCCTGATACCTCCCACCAAGATTCCCCTGTACCTCCTCACCAGCCCTGCATACCTCCCCCACCAAGTTCCTCCCCAGATACTCACCAAGTTCTTTCCTACTCTAAATTTCCTGTATACCTCCTCCAATAAGTCTCTCCCAGATACCTCCCAATCAGTTCTCCCCTGTATACCTCCCAAATAAGATCCTTCCCTGTATCCCTCCCCAATAAGTTCCTCCTGTATACCTCCCCCACCAAGTTCTTCCTGCATAATTCCCACCAAGTTCCTCCCTGTATACCTCCCCACCAATTCCCTTCCTGTATACCTCCCCATTGTTCTCCTGTATACCTCCCCCTGTCTCCTCCAACCACCCCACCAAGTTCATCCCCAGACACCCCCACCACGTTCCCTGCAGTGGATACCTCCCCCACCAAGTTCCTCCTGTATACCCCTCCAATAAGTTCCCTCCCTGTAAACCTCCCCACTATTTCTCCCATTCCTCCCACCAAGTTCCTCCCTGTATACCTTCCCACCAAGTTCCCCTGTATACCTCCCCACCAAGTTCCTCCCCTGTATACCTCCCCACCAAGTTCCTCCCTGACACCTCCACCAAGTTCCTCCCTGTATACCTCCCCACCAAGTTCCTCCTGTATACCTCACCACCAAGTTCCTCCCATACCTCCCCAATAAGTTCCCCTGTAAACCTCCCCAACTATTCCCTCCTGTATTCCTCCCCACCAAGTTCCTCCCTGTATACCTCACTAAGTTCCTCCCCACCTCCACCAAGTTTCTCCCCAGACCTCCCAATAAGTTCCCTCCTGTATACCTCCCACCTGTCTCCTCCTGTAAATCTCCCTACCAAGTTCTCCCCTGTACCCCCACTGGTTCCTCCCTGTATATCCTCCCTATGCCCCTCCAGACACCTCCCACCTGTCTCCTCTGTACCTCCCAATAAGTTCCTCCTTCCATACCCACTGCCTCCCAAATTCTCCTATTGTTCCTCCTCTGTATACCTTCCCACCAAGTCTCCTCCTGTTTACTCTATCAAGTCTCTTCCAGACACCTCCCTACCTGTTCCTCCCTGTGTACCTCACCAAGTTCCTCCCTACACCTCCCCACCAAGTTCCTCCTATATACCTCCCACTAAGTTCCTCCTCATACCTCACGTCTCCCTGTATACATCCCATTAACCTCCCTGTATACATCCCAAGAAGCCCTCCCTGTATACCTCCCCACCAAGTTCCTCCCTGTGCACCAGCTCCTCCCCTATACCTCCCCACCAAGTTCCTCCCTGTATACCCAATCTGCACCCCCCCACCAAGTCTCCCTTCCCATAAGTTGCTCTGTATACTTCCCCACCCTGTTCCTCCCTGTATCCCTCCCATCAAGTTCCTCCCTGTATACCTCCCCACCAAGTTCTTTCCCCTGTATACCTCCCCCACCAAGTCTTTCTGCATACCTCCCACCAAGTTCTCCCGCATTCCCCACCAGTCTCCCAACCATCCCACCCCCCTATTACCCCCCTCCCACCAAGTTCCTCCCACACCTCTCCATGTTCTCCTGTATACCCCCCCACAAGTTCCCTCCTGTATACCTCCCCACCAAGTTCTCCTGTATACCTCCCACCAAGTTTCCTCCCCTGCCTCCCAATAAGTTCCTCCCTGTATATCTCCCCATGTTCCTCCTCTGTACCTCCCCCAAGTTCCTCCCTGTGTACCTCCCCAATAAGTTCCTCCTCTGTATACCTCCCACCAAGTTCCTCCCTGTGTACCTTCCCAATAGTTCCTCCTCATACCTCCCCACCAAGTTCCTCCTGTATACCTCCCATAAAGTTCCTCTTGTATACCTCCCACAAGTTCCCTCCTGTGTACCTCCCCAATAAGTTCCTCCTCTGTACCTCCCCACCAAGTTCCTCTGTATACCTCCTCAATAAGTTCCTCCCTGTATACATCCCCAATAAACTCCTCCCTGTATACATCCCCAAGCTCCTCCCTGTATACCTCCCACCAAGTTCCTCCCTGTGTACCTCCCAATAAGTTCCTCCTCTGTATACCTCCCAAGTTCCTCCTGTATACCTCCCTAATAAGTTCCTCCCTCTGTATGCCTCCCCACCAAATTCCTCCTTTGTACCTCCCCAATAAGTTCCTCCTCTGTATACCTCCCACAAGTTCCTCCCTGTATCCCTCCCAATAAGTTCCTCCCTGTATACCTCCCCACCAAGTTCTTTCCCTGTACCTCCCCACCAAGTTCCTTCCTGTATACCTCCCCATTAAGTTCCTCCCTGTATACCTCCCCATCAAGTTCCTCCTGTATACCAACCCACCAAGTTCCTCAGTGGATACCTCCCCACCAAGTTCCTCCCTGTATACCTCTCCAATAAGTTCCTTGTAAACCTCCTCACCAAGTTCCTCCCTGTATACCTCCCCACCAAGTTTCCTCTTTGTACCTCCCAATAAGTTCCTCCTGTACCTCCTCCCTGTTTCTCCCAGCACCTCCCCACCAAGTTCCTCCCTGTATACCTCCCCACCAAGTTCCTCCCTGTATACCTCCCACCAGTTCCTCAGTGGATACCTCCCACCAAGTTCCTCCCTGTATACCTCTCAATAAATTTCCTCCTGAAACCTCCTCACCAAGTTCCTCCCTGTATACCTCCCACCAAGTTCCTCCTTATACCTCCCCTGGTTCCTCTTATACCTCCCCACCAAGTTCCTCCTGTATACCTCCCCACCAAGTTCCTCCCCTGTATACCTTCCCACCAAGTTCCTCCTGTATACCTCACCACCAAGTCCTCCCTGTATACCTCCCCAATAAGTTCCTCCTGTATACCTCCCCACCAAGTTCATCCCTGTACCTCCCAATAAGTTCCTCCCCTCTATACCTCCCACCAAGTTCCTCCCTGTATACCTCCCTACCAAAGTTTCCTCCCCTGTATACCTCCCAATAAGTTCCTCCCTGTATATTTCCCCAATAAGTTCCTCCTCTGTATACTCCCCACCAAGTTCCTCCTGTATACCTCCCAATAAGTTCCTCCTCTGTATACCTCCCACCAAGTTCCTCCCTGTACCTCCCCAATAAGTTCCTCCTCTGTATACCTCCCCACAAGTTCCTCCTATGCCTCCTCAATAAGTTCTCCTGTATACCTCCCACCAAGTTCCTCCCTGTATACCTCCTCAATAAGTTCCTCCTGTATACATCCCAATAAACTCCTCCCTGTATACCTCCCACCAAGTTCCTCCTGTGTACCTCCCAATAAGTTCCTCCTCTGTATACCTCCCACCAAGTTCCTCCCTGTATACCTCCCAATAAGTTCCTCCTCTGTATACCTCCCACCAAGTTCCTCCTGTGTACCTCTAATAAGTTCCTCCTCTGTATACCTCACAAGTTCCTCCCTGTATATCTCGCCAATAAGTTCCTCCTCTGTATACCTCCCCACCAAGTTCCTCCTTGTATACCTCCCCAATAAGTTCCTCCCTGTATACCTCCCCAACAAACTCCTCCCCTGTATACCTCCCCAATAAGCTCCTCCCCTCCAAGTTTCTCCTCTGTATACCTCCCCACCAAGTTCCTCCCCTGTATACCACCCCCACTAAATATGTCCCTTTAACCCCCACCCATCAAGTACAACTCTCACACCTGAACTTGTCACCATCACAAGTACCACATCATAATGCGTGTGTCACCTACTCTCCCGTCAGGACCCTCTGCGCTACGGCCGGTGGATGACGAAGAGAATCGTGACGTGCTCCATCGCGGCTATCTGGGTGCTTAGTGCTCTTGTATCTTTCCTTCCCATCATGCTGAATCTCCATCTGCCTTACCAGAAAGAAGTCACCACTCCCGACAGTACCGTGAGTTTTTAAAATGAATGCCTATGATGTAGAGTAAAAAAATCGCTCTTAAAAGTATCTGAACGGAGGGGTTCAATGAATTTCAAAATGAACACTGAGACTCCTGTTGTATCGGGAGAGTTGTCAAAATCCTTCGTCATATTGTCTCAAACAAAATCGTAAAGATACTTTTGGGAGTGAGATACATCCAGGGAGGTATATTCAATTAGACATGTTCGTCTTTCAGTCCATATTTAATTGCAGAGGCTTTTCCTACTCGTGCAAGTTTCTTAGCAGAATTACGAAGAAAATATCCGGAGTAAACATTGTTAGTTTCTTTATATGCATTCTAGGATTACTTGCTTAGATTTCAAAGTTGTTCTTTACTTTATGACAGGACAGACAAGTGGTGAGATCTGCGGTTTACAAACATAGCTGGTGTTTTACGTGCATCTATGTATATGTGTGTATGTTTAGGTGTGTGCTAGTAAGTGTACAGTATGTTTGGATGTGTGTTAGGTGAATATTGGTGTGTGTCAAGTATCGTTTACTTGTTGATACAATCGTTCGTCGATGACGCTGAGGATTTTGCCGAAGTTAAATCTAACATACAAAATCACTTCTTTCAGCGTCAAACATAGACACAGTATAACATGCCTGGGGATACATCTTGGTCTTAACAATAATATTCATCATCACAATGAAAATTTTACTCTGAATATCGATACTGATCTGAGGTTTTCAATTTACGAGGAAAAGGTCAATCTTAGTAATAAAATAACGGGATTATTATGAAAATGTTTCACTTAGATGATCGGTGCCTTAGGAGTCTTTGGAAAAGGTTGCTGTACTGTAGTTCAGCTTGGTTTCTGAGATATTACACTGCTATTGGATTGAAAAATTGAAGAATGACTACTGGTGACGACACCCAACACCTCACTTACTGTGAAAGACGAGAACGTTTAGTGTCCCAGTTAATACTACAGAAGAGAATAAAGTTAGATGTTTGAGCACCGTACAGCCTGCCGTTTGGTTACGTTAGGTTAGGAAGAGTTAGAGTAGCGTTAGGGTATTTAATCATAAATTGAAATAAGCTGAGAGGCATAATTCAGTTTATTATTAGCTTATGGCCGCGTCATTAAAGATCACAGACTCGCGCCAAAGAAACTACTGTGCTGGCGCAGGAAACTGTCAGAAACAACTTCTTTGGAGAGTGACTTTGGTACTGCTCAAATACTCTGTCAGCTAATTTTATGAAACCCTAGAGTGAATGTTTATAAAGTCCAGGTTAAACCAGCATGAGTGCATGGTCAGATACATTTAAAAGTCTACGGATGCCCCACGTAAAAAAATGCGCAACAGAAACTGACAGAATGTCCAAGTATCAAATAAGGCTGAAGAACGCGTTGAGTACGTCGGGAAGTGTTTGTGAGCGTGAGTGTTGGTTTAAGTGTGTTACTATGTATTTGTTATGTGTACGTATGCTTATGTCTGTATTTGTTTGTGCTTGGAATAATGTATTCGTGTGTAACTATGCATATGCTCGCGCGCGCGTGTGTGTGTGTGTGTGTGAGTGTAATAATAATAATAATAATAATAATAATAATAATAATAATTAACGGTTTATTGAAAGAGCATGGCAGCCGGAAGGCTGAAAATATACAGTTGCATAATTGGGGAATGGGTCTCTTGATTTACAAATGATATACAAGTAACATAGTGATACAAATATGTTATATAATAACTAGGTTATATTACAGGGCATTTCAACATAGTGACAGTGCAAAACGGTAAGATTGACTGGAGGTGAATACACTGGTTAATTACAAGTTATTGATAATTTTTGCAATGGTTAGAACTGGGCTGTTCTTATAGCGATCAGTTCGTGCTCGTATGGGCTGGATGCGGTTGTGGTGTCGAACAGCAATTCTCGGACAAGGGATCTCGGGTGGTAGTAGGAGCGTGTGTCGAGGATGGTGCAGAAGCTTCTCACCAAATTTGCAGATGAGGTCGTGGTGATGGTCAGAGAGAGCCGAGAGGGTCAGTGTGTTGAGTGCTTTTTCTTCTCACTTATCTCTCCGGAAAAAAAGTAAAGTTTAATATATATTGACATATGAATATTTTCCTAAAACCAGAAACTAAATACACAGAAAAGGTGAATTTCTGTACATACAGCAGTTTTCAAAGGTGCGACTTGATGCAACAGAGTGGAGACCAAGGCAGGCTGATCATTGTCATGGAGATGGTTGTGAGGAGTTAAAAGAGCGTGTAGTAATTGGGTTATTGGTATGAAATGATCGATCTAGAGATACCCTAACACGCGCACGCTAAAGTGTCTCTCATCTTGCCCTGAGAGTGTTGATTAGGGGAGATAAGGCGTTTATTGTAAGGTGTTTTAAGATGCACGGAATAGCTAACGCGTTAGCTTTTCCGGATTGTTATTAAGAAAAAATACGACATTGTAACAGTCTTCAGAAAACAATAAAATTAGGAGAACTGTTATTTGGACACAATATAGAAAGAAATAGTGAAGAAAATATTGAGAAAATTATGGAAAGAGACAAAAAATAGAATTCAATGTCAACAATAAATAAGAATATCACAAAAAGTCTGGCCCGTTGTAAAGGAATTTCTCCCGGACTCTAATACCACACGAAACAAACAGAGCAGCTCTACGTTTCTTCTCTCGCGGCTAGATGTTCGCATATTTGTGCATGAAATACGACGTATTTCTGGTTCGTCTAAGTCATAAATTTTGCACTTACAGAACTGTAATTAACTTGTTCACCCTTATTTAAAGTATCTTATGAGTAATGATATTAATGTTTCAATCATACTTCTGTAATTATCAATATTGTTACACCAACGGCACCAACGGCTAATGAAATCTGACAGCACCCACTTAAAAAGGAGGAGACAAAACAGGCTTCAACTCTGTGTAATCATTTTGTTTTAGGTCCTATCCAATATACTACCGTATATGAAATTATTTTTATTATTTTATCACAGTTTTTTTATTGCCTTCCATGCCTCCAACTCTTCAATATTAATCAAAATATTCTCCATAAGCGGCCATGATCAGCGTATTTTCAGTGGGAGAAATCGCTGATTGGTTGTTAGCTATTTGGGCCGCTTGAGGGCTGCACAAGGCTAACGCCTGATCGAGGCGTTAGCCTTTCCCTCTGAACGTGTCATGAGCATAAATCAAAAGCAACATCTACGCCTCTAGAAGAGTTAGCGCGACGAAAACGCCTTACAATAAACGCCTATAGTCTATTTGGGGAGATGGTCTATTTGGGGAGATAGTATATTAGGAGAGATAGTCTTTTAGGGGAGATAGTCTATTAGAGGAGATAGTCTAATAAGGGAGATAGTGTATTGGGGAAGATAGTCTATTAGAGGCGATAGTCTATTAAGGAAGATATTCTCTTAGGGGAGATAGTCTATTAGGGGAGATAGTCTATTAGAAGAGGCTGTCTATTAAGGGAGATATTCTCCTAAGGGAGATAGTTTATTAAGGGAGATAGTCTATTAGGGGAGACAGTCTATTAGGGAGATGGTCTATTAGGGGAGATGGTCTGTTAGGGAGATAGTGTATTTGGGGAGATAGCCTATGAGAGGAGATAGTCTATTAAGGAAGATAGTCCATTAGGGGAGATATTCTATTAAGAGGGATACACTTTTTGGGCAGAGAGTCTACTAGGGGGAGATTAGCTAGTGGGGGAGGTAATCGACGAACCACTTGTGTACTGGGTTCTTTCTGTGTTACCCAAATAAGATATTAAAATTGGCGTCCCAGTAGTGAAAGATTAGCGACAACTTATAAGCCTGAGAGAATTACCTTGTCTTCTTTATATTAGTTATTATGCTAACCTGTTATTGGTGATGAATCTCCAGGGGTAATTCAGGTAACTGAATAATAAATTAGTACCTACCGCACCCGAAGACTGTAACAGGGTGAAATAAGTAAATCTTTGTCGTTACCTTCATGTTTTATTAGTGTATGTAACTATGTATTAATAAAATGAATATGGAAATATATTGTACGTTAACGAGGGTTTATGGTTCTTAAGCTGAAAAAGAACTTGAGATGCACACACACACGCACAAACACTACTACTACTACTTTTTTTCTTCTTTTTTTTGGCCTCCATTCTCCCCTTATAGCCATACCTTCGCCACCATTTTATTACCTCATAGTCAATATCTGCAACTGTTGTCGGCTTTGAGGCCGATGCTCTCGTTCCCTTGAGGCAGAGCAAAGGCGACCTAAGGAGAGAGAAGGACATTCGACATCTCATCCAGGTTGCAACATAACTTCTGGGCTGCTGCTTCTGTTCGGATAGCACCTCCGCGAGTCTGGCTTAGAAGCATCTTGCACTTGGTCCCATCCCACCAGAGGTTGTGAACACTAGAGGAGTGAAGCTGCCTTGATCAACGTTCTGAATTCTCTCCCTGTATGCCCTTTTCTTGTCGTTCACGTTCCTCCTATGTGCAGCATCGAGAGCTAAGTTACGGTGACATGCGGCCATGGGATCAAAAATCCTTATGTCGAAGAAGGCTCGCTGTTCCCGCGTCCAGAATCCTCGAGCAATGACGTCAACACAGGCTTCGTTGGATATGTTTGAAGTCCTATTTTGGAAATTCTCACGGTCCAATGGAAGGAGGGTCGGTTCTACCCTGACATCACAGCAGATTTCCTTCAACATATTTGCTGTGAGATCCCTTACTTCGTCATGCCTCATGCATATGAAGCCCCCCTTTCTTGCACACCAGAGTTGCCTCTGAAGATGTCTTGAATAAAGACGAAAGCTAAGGTGCTCCGTTGTTTCCCTTTTCCCGTGTGATTTTATCAAGATTTATCTTATCCACGTTTTCATTGTGGATCTACATGAAATATATATATATATATATACATATATATATATATATATATATATATATATATATATATATATATATATATATATATATATATATATATATATATATATATATATATATATATATTGTTACGCCGTCTCTTAATTTACTCTAACATCCAGGTTCTAGGCCTAACCAAACAAAAAAAGTGAAGTAAATTAAATGGGAATATAAATAAATAAAGTAAACCTTTAAGAATTTAATTAAATTAAATATTAACACAATAAAGAGCCTCGTAGGCTGTCACAACAAATTGATTCACTATCGAAACTTTTAAGACACAAATGATACTAAACATCGAAACATCAAAAGAACTGCTTAAATATATCGAATAAAAATAAAGCACTGGATTACATTAACACTACATAAACATATAAAATAACTAACACTGAAATTAACTAACGTGAAACAACACTGAATTACTTAAATGTAACTAAGCAAGCACTGATGGACGCATAAGAGACATAAATAGGTACTCACATAGATATACCACATTGGTGGTGACAGGAACAACACAGAAATAAAATGAAGTATAAGTAACAGGTGACGGGTGTCGCTCAAAAGAACGTGAACTGAATGACGAGAGGACTGGACTGAACTCCATCTACTGATGCTTACTATATATTGGGTCGGCTCCAGACAATGCCACCAGCAGGTGAAACATGGGTCGTTTAACGATGCTGATGGTCGTTAGAGAAACAAAGAATGCTTGTTTCATTACTAAAAGAAGAAATAAGATGGGCTTGAACAAATAATAACAGTTAAAACCTTAACAGCACAGGGTAAGGTGACTAGATTATATAATAGTAAATATGACACATCATTACAGGAATAATATGGAACAACATGGAAGCATGTTATATAAAAAAAATAGAAAAATACGACACGGTCGTACCAATATATATATATATATATAACTAAGCAAAGTTGTGAATGAAACATATCACTTGTTATTTCAGTGTGCGAGAACCGTCTTTCCAATTCCACACAGGAAAATTAATATTTTTTGAAAATGAGAAGACAGCCTAAATCTTTCCCCAAGGCAAATAGAAACAACATAAACGTGTGTGTATAATAATAATAATAATAATAATAATAATAAACGGTTTATTAATAGAGTTGCAGCCAGTGGCTGAAAATATTCAGACTTACATTTGATTTAGACAAAATGATATAATATGCATTGAATACATTTACAGGGCTGTACAGTACATAAATCAGGAGTTGTTTATTATTTTAACAATAGATGGGGTGGTGCTGTTATTATATCTATCGGTGAGGGCTCTTATGGGCTGAATTTTGTTGTAGTGGCGGACTGAGAGAGTTGCGTGGGGGTCTGCAGGTGGCAGGACGTGGCGATGACGAGGGTGGTACAGTAGTCCACTGCCAAACCTTTCCAGTGCTTGGTGGTGGAGGTCACTGAGGGATGGCATTTCCAGGGTGGAGAGAGCTTTGGTGTAGCCGGAGTATTCTGCGCCGAGCATGATTCTGCAGGCCCTTTTCTGTACCTTCTCTAGCTGACGTTGATGGGTGGGGTTGAGAGAAGACGACTAGGCTGGTGATGCATACGTTAGTTTGGGGAGAATAAAGGCGTTGTAGATGGTCCTCAGCTCTGGCGTGGGTGTCCCAAGTGACCTTAGTCTTCGTAGCATGTAGAGACAGTATGAGGCTGCCTTGACTGTGTTATTTACATGGGCCTTCCAGTCAAGTTTGTTGTCTATAGTTACACCCAGGAGTTTGGCAGACTGCACCAGCTGGAGAGGATGGGCACCCACTGTGACTGCTGGGGCTTGCACTGGAGTGGTGGCGGTATTGATGTGCATGACTACGGTTTTAGTGTGGTTGATGGTGACCTTGTTCTCCATAGTCCATGCCTGTAGCCTGTCCAGGTGCTTTGTAGCGATGAGTAGTCTGGTGCGGTGTTGTCCACTGAAACCCCCACAGTGCAGTCATCCACGTACTTCCACCTGTGAGGAGTGTCCGAAGAGCGTCGTTGATCAGGATGAGGAAGCACAGCGATTCCATCTTGGTCCACTGGGGGAACACCGCAGGTGAGGTGTTGGAATGTGGAGACCAAGCCCTGGTACCTCACTGCCTGGCGACGTCCACTCAAGAAATCAGTGAGCCATGAGACCAGGTTGGTGGGCAGCCCTAGTGCAATAGCCTTGTTGATAACAGTGCAGTGATCAACAAGGTCAAAGGCCTTCCTGAAGTCCACAAGGGCAACGGCCAATGATGTCTTACGTTTCTGCAAGTTTTTGTGCAGAAAATCCAGAAAGCTCACCAAGCAGTGTGATGTAGAGGAGGTCCTCATATTGCCAAATTGCTGTGGATCAATTGACTGATAGATACTGGCAAATGCCCACTCAAAAACAAAGTTCTCACAAAGTAGACTGGGTATGGGGGTAATGGCAACTGGCCTAAGGTCGTTAGGGGACAGTGGGGTGGTAACCTTGGGGATGGGGGTGACAAATGCGGTTTTCCACTCATTAGGGCATTTGCTTTGTCTGAGGGATGCATTAATAATAGAAGAGAAGGGGGTGGCAAGTTCGACTGCAAACTCCTTGTATATTTCGATTGGGAGGTCAATTGGGGTCGTGGAGCGTTTGGATTTAAATTTCAGGAGTTTGTTGGCGATTTCATATGGTTGAACACTGGGAGGGGGGGAGGGGGAAGGTAAGTGTGTGTGTGTGATCATGCCACAACTCCACAGGACAAGGAACAACATAGGTGTGTGTGACCAGCCTTCACCTGTCCCCCTACAGAAGAAGCAGCAGTGTGCCCTGGAGCTGAGCGTCGTCTATGCGGTGGTGTCCTCCTGCATTAGTTTCTTCCTCCCTTGCTGCGTCATGCTTGCCATCTACTCCAGACTCTACCTCTATGCCAAGAGACACGTCGAGTCCATCAAGGTAAAGACATGTTAAATCTATCAAGGTAGAGATATGGTAAGTTTATGGTTAACAGCTGTGTTTGGAAGCCTTAGCGCTACATTCATTAGATCACAGAAATTGAAACTAAAATGTTGCACGGCTGTGTAATATTTTCTGTAAATATTATCTTCAGATGTGTATAAGCTACGCGGTGCAAACTTGATAATAAGCCCATTATCACCTATTCTTATGTAGACTGTAGTAATGAGCACAGTGAGGCTACTGAGAAATTAAAAAGAATCTGTTGGATAAAATTACATGCAGTTTAGAGAAGGAAAGGCAGGGTTAGATAGCGAAATAAAAAGACGACTTTTTGGGGAATTGTTGGAGGAAGATCACGACTAGGAAGAAACAGAACAGCAATGGTAGGAATTCAGACATGTTGTAGTGAGTGGGGAAAACTAACGGAACTTTAAGGAAAATGGAAAAGAGAAGAATATTTTTATGAAGAACTGCTCTTAGAAATTAAAACTGTATATGTAGCTCGCTCCAAGAAATATCTCTACGATTTTTTGAGACAATATGACACAACAGACGAAGGATTTTGACAACCCTACCGAGACAACAAGACTCGCGATAAAGACTTTTTGGAGTGAGTATGAGATGAAAGATGAAGAATGAAAACATAAGAGAAATAAATTATAGAGAAAGACAAAAGATATGAACAAGAAAGAAGGAATAGATGAGGTGAGACTACAATATGTATAGGTAAGGACATCCTGTTGAGACTGAAGTAGTAAACAAATAGAAAGAGTATATAGAAGAACTGTGCTCTAATATAGTGGAGGAAAAACACGAAAAGGAAAGACAATTAAAATAAAAGTAGTACACTACATTGCCCTGCCCAACACACGATTCCTGGAGACAGAAAGGGAGAGGTTAGCTTACCCTAGCTTAGCTTAGCGCTTAGCTTAGGTTGGGTTGGGTTGGGTTAGGTTAGGTTAATTGTAATTAACACAATTTTAATCACAATAAAGATTAGATTAAACAAAGATTCATATAAAGTGCAAAATCATTTAGCAAGGGAAGGAGAATTAGAAAAGGTATCAGTATCTTGAGATTGAAAGTTTTAATTGAAGTGTTTAGAGGCTTAGAGTCTAAAGGAGTATATAATAGTTATGACAAAGTGAATTAAAATTATAGAAAAAAACACATTAACGATGGAGACATTAGACTTTAGAGCAGGGTCACCAAACTACGGTTCATGGGCCGGATCCCAAGTCCTTCCCCGGCTCGTGGTAGCTCCGCCACGCTCTCACGTTACCAGAGCTTTCGTTCTGGCTTGCAAGTATTGAACAGAATGATTATGCGGCCCGCGCTCGTCATTCTTTCAGTTATCCGGCCCACTCAGAAAAAGTTTGCGACCCCTGCTTTAGAGGAATAAAAAAATCTTGAGTAGGATTAGGAAACTGCAGTGTTTGTATGTAGGAACTTGCTAATTGGTTTCGGGTTAAACAAGACGCTGGACAAAGCTTCGTGCTTCCTCCAACATTCTATATCCATTCAGATTTTTGTATTGAAGAAGCTGTAAATACTATTGAAGGAAAACGTAATTGGAAAGTAATTTCAAACTTTCGATATTTAGAACATGCATTTTTATTGAAGGTAAGGAAGAGCCATTAAAATAACTGGTTTATCTCAAAACAAAAACTATGGTAGGCAACAGGAAACGCAAAAAAGTGGAAAAATTTTGTGCATTTAGGAAGACACATAAATTGGAATGGTAAATGTGAAAGAGAAATTAATGCAAGATTAGATCAATCAGAAATAACATGAAAAAGCCTTAGATATCTGTAAAAAAAAATATTAATTAGTTAAAAAGGCTACTGTCATGAAGTATGTGACCAGTAATATTTTAGTGGGCAGAAATGTATAGACAAAAGCCAAAGAAGAGTAGAAGAGTTGTACTGATAGCCAAGAAATAAAGAAATGCTAAGATTGGTTATATCAACGAGGGAAATACTGAACACTTAAAGAATAAGAAATATGAGATACTTAGCATTATTATGAAGGAGAAGATAATGGAGATTATAGTTTAAACCTGTGAGTAGAGGAGGCGTAAGGGTTGGCAGAGATGACATGGATGAATGGAGTCAAAATCTGGATTCCTGGAGACAAGAATTAGAGCGGCGGGCAAGGTCGCCAGAATAATGACGATGAATATGATGATACCGGCATTGACTGACTTTCTGAGACTTGAGAGGGTTTTGTTCACACCTGCGGACTAAGGATTAAAATGTTCACATTATTGTTACGCAAGTTTTTATACAATTACGTTTTTTTATTTTTTTTTATTTTAATAATTTTTGCCTTCCATGTATATATAAGAACTCCCATGTTGACTGTCGTTTCATACCGGAGCCTTTCAGTTCAACCTTATTCTCGGACTCCTGAGATTGGATTGGTTAGGTTAGGTTAGGTTAGGTTAGGTTAGGTCAGGTTAGGTTAGGTTTACCGAGACGTTGAAAGATTAAAAATATATTGAAGGTAATATATGCCTGCCTACCAGGCCATTGCTGCTAACACACACACACACGCACACACACACACACACACACTCAGCCCACCAATCACTTTATCGGTTCCCCCATCCATTTTTGTCCAGGTGCTGCATGGTTGATCACGTATTTTTGTATTCTGTTTCATCCTGCAATTACCTCTCTCATCAAGCTTGGGTTGAACGAGCCAGTCCTCATCACTAAGGTCCTAAAAGACTACTCTTTCCCCTCCAGTTAATTGATCAATTTGAAGAAAAAAAATTAAAGGTCAAAAATAACTTCTATTCCCTTGCGTCATGGACACTGAACATATAGATTCTGATTCTCTTCCTTTCCCCAGCGGTGCTGCAAAACATTCGCTTAATCATTAAAGTCTCTTTGATCGTATTTATCTTTTTAATTTGGCTCTTTTGGTATTAATTGGTGAATCAGCAACCCAGAAATAGCTTCATTTGATGATGATAATGAAGATGGTGATAAGCTGATAGTAAGAAGACATACCCACCCATCAGACGGCGATCTCCTTCTTTAGAGACTAATAAGAGACTTGTGTAGAGCTAAAAGAAGTAATAGAATACCCAAGGAAACAAAAGATTATATATATATATGTATATATATATATATATATATATATATATATATATATATATATATATATATATATATATATATATATATATATATATATATATATATATATATATATATATATACTTCATTTTTAGTCCATATAACACGCGGACTTTGAACATATAATCAACGACCTCACCAGCCAGGGTTGGTCTGTAGCATTCCCTAGTCCCACCCACTAGGTCGAGGGTTCGAGTCCTGGTCTTTGATTATATGTTCAAAGCCCGCGTGTTATATGGACTAAAAGTGAATTATATATATGGTACCTCGTGTTTCATACCAGCTGGATTCGGTAAAATGCTACTGACACCATATACGCGGCACGGGCAGTTCCCAATGAGGTTCACGGCGCCATCAGCTCGATGAACAGGCTTTGTGTGAAATATAACAGAGTCTAGGACTGCTTTAGTGTCCTTGTGGCTTGGTCGGTAGCGTTCCCTAGTCCCACCCAGTAGGTCGAGGGTTCGAGTCCTGGCTGGTGAGGTCGTTGATTTTATATATATATATATATATATATATAATGAGGAGCTCACCTGAATACAGTTCCCTCGTTATCTCACATCCCTTAGTGGCATATAAACGTTAGAAAAACAATAGTATCAAAATTATTCAGAAATAAATGAACAATGCCTTAAGGGCATTCAACAAAATAATATCAGTCACTGAGAAATAGTATAAAAAATATTAAGAAATTATTAACTCCACCATGAACAGGCCTACACACATGGATCAATCATAGCCTGTCAGGGATGACCCACAAAATACTACAATCTTAGCTGTCCAATAACCTGAAAAGGTGTAACTACTAACCCGCCAAGGAGGCTGGCTTTTACAAGAAACCCTAGAAAATCACTCATAACCCAAAGGCAGGCGTTTGCTCCGCTGTTTTTGTCAGTATTTTCTCTAGATCTCAGAAGTCATGAATGTTTTTCTCCACCAACACCCGTAAACACGCGTCACACATAGGTTCCAAATGCACCCGTATTTTCAAGGCACTACAAGCCCTTCACAACTTTGGAGAGGAACTCTTACGTCTCACGAGTGAAAATCAACCATGAGGAGCGTTGTTCTCACACCTGGACTTGGTAAATTCTAAACACACCTTACCACCATTTCCCGTAAACATGCTGGCGACTGCCAGCCGATGAACTCTGTCCAGCTGAGGGAAAGGTTCTATTTCCCCATCCGGTAAAAAATATTTCTAACTGACCCAAAACACGTGGTGATGTGAACCCAAGTGGGGAGAACTGATCAACCAATGAGGGTGTTAGTCCCACGTAGTTTAGTTGTCAGGGGCACTCGTTCACTTCGGGAAGTCCCAGCTAAAACCTTGCTAACCAGTGACAAGCCGCTCCGATCGTTCCACCCCGCTCAAACCACTTCAATCGTCAATCGGCAATCGTCAATCGACACTCGTCAATCGATTGGGTTCTTCAGAAGCCCTGCAATAAACTCTCTGTTAGCTATTGTTAACTTCTTCTCTGCCCTATCTAAACCCTGTCTGAGATCGAATAAAACTTACTTGCAAACTGAATGGCGTATACACAAGGAGACCAGACCACGTGATCGTTTTTCCTGGACGGACGCGCGGAGAAGTCCCGTCTGTCCATTCGCTTTCGTGTGACTGAGGACCAGCCAGGCTCGTGTTTCCCCAAGGCGTTAGCTTGGCCTAGTGACATATTTTCCCGCATAACTAAGAGCTTCGTTGGGACACACGTGACATATTTAGACTGAGAAACGATCTATAATAATTTTAAAATTTAATAACAGTCCCCTAAATTCATGATTCGCGTCCATTAATTCGGTAAATTACATTTAATATTGTATAGGCCTAGTTCCAAAAGTCTCCGTCCGCTTGGGAGGGAGGCGTTATTGGCGCTTGGCCAACCTGCCACGTGGCTAAGGGTGACTCAGCATCGGTTATTTACGTGCTAACGTCTCTAAAATATCACACCAAAATTTCTGAATATTATATATATATATATATATATATATATATATATATATATATATATATATATATATATATATATATATATATATATATATGCAAGTAAATCACTGTATGTTGATGATGTATTATGTCTCTGGCCATGTAATGAGGACCTAAAAGCTTTCCTGCCACAACTTAACAACTTAGCCCCCTCGATCAAATTCACTGTGGAATTAGAGCAAGACTGTAAATTGCCATTCCTAGACTGTCTGATACACAAAATAGGTAACACTTTTAAGTTCAGTATTTATAGAAAACCAACTAATGTGTGTTCATACATTCATTATTATTCGGCCCACCATAATAAAGTCAAACAGTCAGTATTTTCAACAATGTTTTTACGTGCCTTGAGAATTTGCAGTCCGGAATTCATCGATGAGGAATACAAATATATATATAATATTGGCTCAAACCTTAAATACCCAAGATCTTTCATAGACAAATGCTTAAACATTACTAAGAAAACTTTTTATAGAACTGACCCCAAGCCCACCCATGACCATAAGAATATCTTAATATTACCATTTCACAAAAATTTCTCACACATTCCTGCACAGCTAAAAACCTGGAACGTCAATGTGGCATTTAAAAACTCATGCACTGTTAAACAAATGTTAATCAAGAACTCCCCCAACAACACAATTGGCTGCATTTATAAAGTTCCTTGCAAGGAATGTAATATGTTTTACCTTGGCCAGACAGGTAAAGATCTTGCAACTAGAATAAAACAACACAAATACAGTGTTAGGACAGGCCAGGAATCCAATGCTCTGTTTGTTCATTTGAGGGATAACAAGCATTGCATTGACTGGGATAATGCCTCCTCAATATTACCATGTAATTCAATTGATAGTAGGAACATCATAGAATCTAGTCTTATTAAACATACCGAAGCATTCAACGTGAATTTGAGTAACGGCATGTACAAGCTGGACAATTTTGTAATTAAGAAGATTTGTGATCAGGTGAGAAGGCCGGGTCACTTGACCATCTGACCTGACCACCAACCGTTGTGTGCTATTTAAAGATTAGTAGGGTCATTACCTAATACCTGACCATCGTGGACCTGGTCTCACCCTCCTCTGTATATATACACGTTGATTTGTATTACTCTCTCTAGTCTGTACTCACCCCTGAAGATGTGAATTACACGAAAGCGCTTGGGAACTTCGTGTTTCTTCTTTCCTTGTGGTTATCAGCACATATATATATATATATATATATATATATATATATATATATATATATATATATATATATATATATATATATATATATATATATATATACTTCATTTCTCTTCCGATGTGCCTCCCCTCTTCTGCTTCTCTCACAAACAACCTTGTGTTTTGTCCCCTAGGCTTTGGTGCGCCCCGTGACCCTGGGAGCTCTGGAGGGTGACACGTCCAGACCCAAGAAGGTGGCGGCACCGTGCCACGTCTCAGAATCTAAGGCCGCCACTACTGTCGGCATCATCGTCGGCACCTTCCTCACCTGCTGGGTTCCCTTCTTTTGCGTCAACATCGCCGCCGCCTTCTGTCAAGGATGTATAAAAGACGAGGTGTTCAAGGTGAGGGCGCGGGGGGGAGTGTGTTGAGAAGTGTTTTGGTGAACGAGCACTGAAGGAAAATAAGAGAGTGTTGAAGTGATCGAGTAAGGACGTGTGGGATTGAGCCAAGTTCCTTTGAAGGTGGTGAAGGAAGGCGGGAATATAGAAACGAGAGGTAAGAGGGAGAGTTCGGGAGATGAGAGTATGTGGCACCGAAGAGGAGGAAGACGTAAGAGAGATTAGTAGGTGGTGAAGCTGTTAATGTTGGGAGCAATGAGACAAAGGAGTAGAGAGAATGAGAAGAGGAGGGAGAGCAGACAAAATATTATTAAAGAATTGATGGGGAGTGATTTGGAGAGGGAGAAGGAGTAGAGAAGAGAGAAGGATGAGACACTGGGAAGGGAAGGAGTGAGGAAGGGAGGGGAGGTGAGTGAGCAGTCCTGAAATACCATATGTAATTTAAGGTGTGAATGGGGAAATGTTTAAGAATGGTAATGATGAAAATTGGATTATGAAGACATGAAAAACAGATGAAATGGCAAAGAAAATACAAAATAAAAATAATATAAGAAATAAATAAACAGACGGAACAAAATGACAGAAAGATTTACAAGTAAGTCTATAACATTTAAGAAAATGGACAGTTGACAAGTCCTTATGAAAGACAGACATGATCCTTATACGGTGGATAACATTGTAAAACATCCACGTCGTTAAGAGAAAAGATGTTATCCTGACCAAGAAGTGTCGCATCAGGGCCTGTGATCCAGCACCACCTCTCTCTCTCTCTCGCTCTCTCTCTCTCTCTCTCTCTCTCTCTCTCGCTCTCTCTCTCGCTCTCTCTCTCTCTTTCTCCATTTATTTTATGCCCAGAGTAACCTGAAATTTAATGTACCTGACACAGTCCATTTTTGGGTTTAGTTAAACTCAAATAGAACAAAAATAGTGTTAATTTTGCAAATAATACAAAGAGGACACAAATATATGGTGTCCCATATACAGGCCGCTAGACAGTACCCTCCCAAAAATAAACCAAATAATATTTTTTCTACCATTATTATTTGGTGTTACTATTTTCTACTCTTTGAAGTATTTTACATAAACTTGGCAACAAAAATGCATAAAAAAAAATAAACATTTTATGCTAAAATTACATAGTCATCAAGGCAATACCCATCTAAAATGAAGAAAAAACGTTTTTGTTTTTTGTGCCACTGTGTGTTACTCTAAAACATTTCACATTTTGTAAAAATATTTATAAAATCCTATAATACATTTTGTATTTCAATAATATTGGCCTCCATGCATTACCAATATATAAATGAACAATTTATCTAGAATGTGTGATACTGTTTGAAGCACTTTACATGGACTCCTCTATGGCATTTTTCACATATTGTGGTAGTTTGTGATGACAGTGTGCACACCTGTTTTGCACCCAATGTGCAAGCTAATCGTATCTTCTATCTGACCCATTAAGAGGTGGTCTTCTTTGATAACTGCGATAACGCTCTAAATAAAAGCGTGCAACACATCTTCAGAAGGACAGCAGATCTAAGGAAGCATTGGGAACACACTTTCGATGTGGTTGTCGTGCATTATTCATTATTGAATCAATACATAAGTTACCAACCCCGAATACGTTTTCTCTCCTCTCACACGAATCCTGGCCTCGGCTCTATTTGGAGCCATCCTGACCACACAGCTGTTGTAAGCATGCTTCCTGGCTGGTTATTCATGGTACCACTACCATCTTCGTCTCCTGAATCTTCATCAGTAATGTCACCTGTAACTTGTTATGGTGGTGCAAAGTATAGCTTGTTACTTGGCAGGAACATGCACTTCATTTTCAGTGTCATCTTAAACATCTACCAATCCTGAAGGCCTCGAAAGATAGAAAAATCAACTTTTTGAACCTTTTTTTGTAAATATATAATGTTTAGAGAGTTGTTTGATAAATGATCAGTGTGATACAAAAATACAAGACGGGCTGAAAGAATATCCTATACCAATAGGGTGTGTCATAGGAGGGAAGATCAGCTAAAACTAATGGCCCATCACTTTTTTGGTAGATTTTAGTGTATATAAACGGAAAATAATTTCAGTTTTAATATTTTGCAACCTTTTACTAGGTAAATTTTAGCGTGAAATTTATCGAAAATCTAACGTACAGCTGCATTAGTGCATTACAATTAAATAGTGAACATTGCTTTCTGACTTCATTCTTTAAATGTCCCAATATTTTCTCTGCTCGCATTCCTGATATTTGCAAGCTTTATAATATTTGGTGATGGCTGCTTGTGTCAGGACGAGAGGGAACCAAAAATCCAGCCATATCTCAGCCTTCACTATCTTGGGTCTGGGAGAGAGCTCCTGAAGTCGAGTTGCTCTACATTGAGAGATGCTTTTGAGATACGGTGTTTTAATCAGGCAAATCAGTGAAAAGCAGTCCAAAGAACTATGCAAACAAAGACATTGCCAGTATTATGACCAAAGTTGTCTTGGCACAGTACACTCTGGCTAACGCCAGTTCAAGCCTCCAGTCATAACAAGTCAGAAGAAGATTAGAAGTGAGAGATCATAGGTAGATGGACTTCTTGGGAGAGGAAAACCTAGCATATAGCTTGCTACAACTGACCAGTTATTTGACATAATTACTTGCAAGTGCCCAATTGTTCTCTGGTCCTGGGAGTTTGATAAGATCAGACTCTGTAAATCCGAGGCCCACATCTCCTGTATTTGCAAGCGTGAACTGAAGATTCCTGTGGATCGAACTGGCATTTGTCAAAGCACAGAGAGAGAAGATCAAGGAAGTATAGGGGCTCTCATGATTTCTAGCCAAGATATTCCGGAGTCCAAGAGACAGGAGGCTGCCACAGAGAGACAGAGGAGAAGAGTTGCCGAGGAAAAGAGGACTTGAGAAGGCCCAGGGTGAGGTAAAAAGGCCGATGATTGGAGTCAAGCTGATTCAGAGTTTAATGACTTCCCATGGCTGATCCGCTGAGTGCTGACCAGAAGAATGGTGACTTTGTCCCTAACCCAGAAACACAATGATCCAAAACCTTCCAGGCATAAGATTCGAAATAGAAAGATATCCCGAGCATAGCTCTCTGGCCAGCATGCGACACCACACTGGTCTCAGAGAAACTGCAGAGATAGCAACAGCTGCCTGATTGACGGTGGTTTGATAACACCTGATGATGTTCACCTGGTGATAGATCATCATAACAAAGTAAGGAGAGTTCAGGAGAAACTTGTCAGTAACCTAGAAGAGGAGTTTGATAAGGGGATAAGAGAAAATGGAATCAATTGTTTGTTCTTTGATGGGAGAAGGGATGACACTAAAGTGTTCATGAAAGTTGGAGATTTTGACAAGTTGTTCCCTGCCATGGTGAAGGAGGAACACTACTCCTGCTGCAGTGAACCAGGAGGGAAGTATTTGTGGCAGTTCACTCCAGAGAAAGATGACATCAGGAAACCAGCTGAGGTAGTGGCAGATATCATTGTGAACTGGCTCAGAGAGAGGAACGTAGACCAGACCCTGCAGCCATTGGAGGGGACAGCACCAACACGAACACAGGGTGGCAATGGGGGGGTCATACAGTGGATAGAGCGGAAGATTGGGAGGAAGCTGGTCTGGATTGTTTGTGACCTCCACACCAACGAGTTGCAACTCAGACATCTGATCCAGGAGCTGGATGGCAAGACTCTTTCAAACAACAGATGGTCTGGTCCTCTTGGCAAGATGCTGGACTCTGCCACTGAGTTAGAAATAAATCCGAGCTTTGAAAAAATCACAGTTGGCCCTCCACTCGTTGAGCTTGCACATACTGTCATTGACGACCTGAGTACTGACCAGTACTATGGTTACATGATTTGCAGTGCCATCAAAACTGGGGTCATGCCTGATAGACTTGCTTACCTGCAGATAGGTCCAGTCTCACATTCTAGGTGGCTCACAACGGCTCTCAGGTTCTGCAGAATTTGGGTCGCTCATCATAAACTGAAAGGGAACCAGCTTCACAACCTGAGACTTATTGTCCAATTCATCGTGAGTGTCTACTTGCCAAATTGGTTCAACACCAAGGTCAAGTCATCGTTCTCCGAAGGTCCGAGGCATGTTCTCTTCCAGCTTGAGCTCCTGAGGAGTCAGCCAAGGAAGGTTGTTCAGATTGTGGAGCAGACTGTGAGGAGATCTTCCTGGTATGCTCATCCCGAGGCAGTTCTGCAGACAATGCTCTGCAGTAAGGATGAGGAGGAGAGAAGAGTGGCAGTCAAAAAGATCTTGGATATGAGACTTATGAGAGGATCTGGGCATGACGAATCAGTTGGTGACGATTCCTTCAGGGTCAGAAGACTCCTGAAGTCAATCTAGGTGCCAAGACCCTCACTGATCTCATAGATCTGGATAACATCCAGGCTGGCAGTGAGCCCCCTCTTACCTGCAGCCTCACCAATGTTCAAGTCAGAGCTTTCCTGGACAACCCCATGCATGTCCCTGCCTGGCCCTCGCACACCCAGAGTATAGAGCGTTGTGTACAGCAAGTGAGCGAGGCCAGCAGTCACGTGTACAGCCAGGAGAGGAGGGAAGGCTACATCCGAGCTCAGGTGGTCAGCAGGGAGGTGATGAGTAGAAACAGAAGCAAGAAAGACATGTTCTCTATGGTGTGCAGCAACACCGGGTCGTAGTAGTAAAACCGGTTTTTGTATTTGATGATTTTGTTTTCTAAAGGAATATTAAATTTAATAAATGTGTCAAGATCATTCGTTTCACTATTCTGGATCATTTTCATCCTAATAAATTAACCTGATACATTTACTTTACTTTAAATAAGCTATTTAGTGGTGCTGGTAAAAGGGTGGGAATACTGAATTTTCATAAGATTTCAAGTTAAAATTTACCTAGCAAAAAATGAAAACTTTTCAAATCTGAAGATATCACATGATTCTGCACATAGAACTACATCATTAATACCATGGGCCGATTTTTCAAACTCAAAAAAAAAAAATTCGCCTCCGTATGACACACCCTACTATACCAAGGCATACATGTTGGTAGGCAAATTTAGAATAACCATTGTACTGTACTGTGCAATCTTACAGTTAGAAATATCTTTCTCTATATCAGGAATACTAAATTGCATTCAAATATTAATTAGAAATGGGCACTTAGACACGTGGACAATAAATTGTTGGCCAAACGAATACAGGAGGGAGGGACTAGTTTATTTTGGTGTACTAAATAGAAGATGTCTGACCGTCTAAGATTTCTCTCTGTTCTTCTCTTTCTCTCAATATTGTATTCGTTGCACTTGGTACCTATTATCACTAAGAACTGAAACTACAGTAATTTATACTCTGACAAGGACCTCTCTCCCTCTCTCACCCTCTCTACAGACGCTGACGTGGTTCGGGTACACCAACTCCTCCTTTAACCCCATCATCTACAGCATCTTCAACCAGGAATTCAGAGATGCATTCAAGCGGATCCTCACCTCGAGGTGCAGGCCGTGTCCCTCCTGCTGCTCTCAGACCTGTTGCTGTGGGGATTCCAGCGGCTTCCCTCCCTACTCCCCCTACTCCTGTTGCAGCTGTTGTCCGCTGGAGAAGTAGGTTACTCGGTGATCCAGACATGTACGACTGGTCCTACTTGCGGATGTTTTTTTTCAGTTGTTTTATTCGTTTATTCTTTTTTATATAATTTACTGTCTTTTGTTTGTCTCTTCTAGTTTATATCTATTTTCTTTTTGTGTGTAGTTTTTTTTCATTTATTCATCCTTTTATTTATTAGTTCTATTGTTATTCATTATCATTATTTAATATATCTTTATTCTCTACTAATATATTATTATTCCCCTATATATATACGAATCACTTTATTTATTTTTATATATTATCTGTTTCTGGTTTTTTTTGGGTTACTCATTTGGTTTTTGCAATGCGATATCGGAATTTTGCATTCATTTTGCACCGACATCTTACAAGACATAACTGGGCGCTTTCCGTCGTCCCAAGATCACTAGGTGAGTGTGCTATATATAAACATATACATCACACTGTGTCTTAACCCTTCCAAACTATGTCCTAAACTCACGACATTGCCTTCAGCTCACTACACTATGTCTAGATCTCACTACACTGCGTCTTAAGCTCATCACACAGTACCAGGAGCAACGTGCGTCAGTAACCTTACCTGTCATGTTCTGCATCATAAACACGCCACACTATCCTCAGGGTTTCAATGGTACCACACTGTCCCAAGATTAAGTAACAAAAAAAAAAAAAGATATCCCCAAGTTTCGAATACTTCTGCTACAGCATGTGAGAACCCCTGTAAGTGTCAATATTACACACACGTCCAAACCTTCGTTGCTGTTTCATATTTAATAAAAATTAAACAACATCTAGGAGAGTCAAAGTTTTGTTTCTTTTGTTTCATAAATCACTAAATGATTTACTTAATATTTATTCATATATTTTCGTTTTGAAATCGACTGAATTATATTTGTTCAAGAAAATTTAATTTGTTAACAATTCTTGCAATATATTCTGTGTTTTCCTTCAGGCGCTTAATAAACTCTACAATATACTATATAACATATATATTATCCAACAAGCTTTATACATCTATGAGTCTTCTTCCCACCCTTCAGTAGCGACATTCCAGAGTATCATTAATGAATCTCTCTCTCTCTCTCTCTCTCTCTCTCTCTCTCTCTCTCTCTCTCTGTTTGTTTAGAGATTTCACCCAAGGCAACTTTTTTGGTTTCTACCTAACTTACAACACAGAGCTACTTGACTTCTTTTAGTACTGTCTTTGTTGGCAGTACCTTTGTTTATCTTACCAGTTGTAGTTTGTTGGGAAAGTTGCCATCCTTTATTCTCTCCTTACGTCCCAATTCACTGTTTTATTTTTCAGTTTGTGTTTATGAGTTGATCTTGTTAATTCTTACTCCTCTGTCTCTTTCCCTCCATCATATTTCATTACTTTATCTCCCTCAGTTCACATTCTTTATCTCGTTATTCTTGTCCATGCATCATTTCGTCTTTCCTGACAGTTCCCTAAGCCACACATGTTAACCCCCCCCTTCCTGTTTGTCAATCAGTTTTAGCCAATCAATTTCTCCACATGTCGCTAAGTCTTCATCTTCGTGTACCTATTACAGAAGTCGTCCAAGGACAAGCGCAAGGAGTAGCGTGCCCCTGTGTGTGGAGGTGCCCCGCCACCACCACCAGAATGGCTCCTCTTCTACAGCACTCACTGAATACACGGTGCTTGACGCCTTGGCCACCCCTAGGCTCTCCCATGACCGTTCCAGGGCATCCTCTGGAGAGCGTTGCCTCATCTTGGAACAGATATCCGCTATTTGAAGACCAGAGTGATTGGATCTCCGTTTTTTCTGAGGTTTTGGAGATGTGCGTTCTCATCATTTGACGTCTGGGAGAAATGGTAGATCTCCGATGATTGAGATTTTGACGTCTGGCATAAAAATATTCCGTCATTTGAATTGTAAAATATTTTATATTTCTATAATTTTGGGGAGTCCGAATGATTAGATTCCCATATTTATTCAGATATGTAAAATAGTGTGTCTCTATTCTACTGAGTTTTGACATATTGTCAGATCTTTGTTCTTCACAATGTGTAAACTGCATGATTACTGTCTGTGAGATCTTAATCGGAGAGATGGTCTTCAAGGCTTAGAAGAGTGTGATCCCCATTATTGAGGTATGATAGGAACAAAACTATTATCTTAATAATGGAAGAAGTATTTTTTTATGAATTGAAGAAGACGAAGTTTGTGGTATTTCAGAGTATATGATTTCATATCTACTGATTGTGAGGCTGGAGAGAGCACTTTTTCTAGGTCAGGGACAAGGAGAATATTGTCAATTAATAATTAGAGACCCTAGTAACACATGTCTCTGATAAAAGAAAGGTAAAAAGCCTTTGCCAAAAGGAAGCCATTCCCCTTATGAAAAAGGTGGAGTCGACATTATTATGGCATATCAAACGAGTTTCAGATTATCGACAACGCGGCGCATTACTTTCGAAAGGTCTCCTCTGAAATTCCGTTGAAGGCAAGTGGCACCAGTGCCCTGTTACGTCTTCAGGAGTGAGTTTCATGAGACCTCAACTGTCTTGCAGGGTCCCTCCGTCCTCTCGCTGCGTCCTCAAGTTTGACTGCAAGAGGCCAGTAATCCGGGAAAAGAGGTCAGACACCTCTTGACAGTAAATGGTCAGTTCTTCAGACAACAAAGCCAAAGTCCCCAAGACAAAGTATATTTATATTGTGAGAAGAAGGAAAAGGCCAGAAGCTTCTGTAACTACATACATTTATTACGGAATACAGAGTTCAGAAGTCCAGCTTTGGTAAGAATCCTGTTTCCTCTTACTTTAAGGTGAAGAGAAGGAGGAGGAGGAGGAGGAGGAGATAATTTCTGTAACAAGTCTATGTGTTAAAACGATGGCATATTACTCTGAAACGTAAACATACCTGGTTCTTCCACTGTAGTTATTTTTCATTCATGTAATATAATTTTGAGGTAACCAGCATAGTAAAACAGCAAAGTGTACGTGATATAAAGATTTTTTAGCTGTACTTATGCTGTATATGTAGCTAGATATGTATGTTCTTAGAAAGTGTCACCCCAAGGAAACCTTTTACAACAAAAGTGAAGTGTTATGAAAAAGCTTACTTATAAATCTTAAGAACAAAATTGTACTGTTAATTATTTATGAATAATTTGTAAAGAAGAACTGAACCTAGAATCATGGCGACAAGAAAATAGTGATAGTAAATTTTAAACGTGAATCTTAATTGTATTTTATTTGAGAGGAGAAAAGAAAAAAAATACAGTTCCCCTTCCGTCATCGTGGTGCCAAATGATGTAATTGGCCAAAAGGAGGGCTCAGCTGATTGGCCAGAACGTGCGGATGGAACAATGTGATTGACCAGACCGTGAAGATGGTTATTCCTCTCAGTCAGCTGCTAGTCTTGTGTGCAGTACAGTACATTACAGTATATACCCGGGGACAACTTCTGGCACTCATTGAAATATTATTACGTTGTGTTCATATTAAAATAGAAAAGTCACTTGGAATCAAGATTTTTTTTAAGAACGATCCAAGAATCACTGAAAAGGTTTTCCATTTATAAAGAAAACGGCTTGAAAGAAAGGCACCAAAGACACGCCATTAAGTAAAGCTGGAAGATGGAGTTAATCTCCCTAAAGTCTAATGCTCTGTGTTTAACAAGTGGATGCTATTTTTTATTCTCAGAGTCATTAGTCGTATATCAGACACAAAATGATTCCCTATACATATATACCTACAATAATACTGTTGTTACATAGATTTCGCACATGATGTGAAACTACGTGAATGGAAAAATAAATTGTAGGACACTGCCAATATGGTAATATCGACTAGAAACTAAGAGCATTTCGTAAAATGTTTATGTGGTTGGGGGGCAAAAGCCGATATCAGGTAGAAGAAACGTAAACCCCAAATACGGATCTAATATGAAAAGCTGATTGGTTGGCAGCGGTAGCCTGTATAGTAGCTGGCCAATTCCAAGTCGATTCCAGGAACTGAAAACACAATCCCCAGAAGACCGATGATTGGTTCAAACATTATCTAATCAGCCAATCAAAAACATGAATATAATATATTATAATTTGAGAGAGTTAACTAAGAAAATAATTGTACTATAACATAAAGTAATGTAAAATAAAAAGTTGCAAGAACTTATAATGAAATGCCCCCAAAAAGTGGTTTTAACACTGAGGTAACAAAGATTTAAACATGTCAGTGATGTCGCTCTTGTCTCTCATTAATATAAATCAATATTAGTTTTTTATTCGTACAACCTCGTATCTTCCCTGTGTGATACCAATAAGAGGAAGACTTATGAAGGAAAAAAGCTGATATGAAGGCTGAAAAGATGAAAGGAAGATAATTGCTGTTTCGTAACAAAACAAAAAATATTTATATATATATATATATATATATATATATATATATATATATATATATATATATATATATATATATATATATATATATATATATATATATATATATATATACATAAAAAAAGAGATGAGTGGGAACAGCGCCATAATATAAACAGACGAGCTGACGATGAACTTACTGATGATGATGACTATATACCCTGAAGGTGATGACGATAACACGGCCCTGGTAACACGCTCTGTCGGGGTCACTGTTTCCACCTGAGGATATCTCGTGTCGGTTATTTGATATAAACATTTATCAGCTGCTCTTCCCATATATCTGCACAGTATTCTATAAGGGCATTGGTTAGAAGTATTATTCCCTCAATGAGATATTTTGTTTGACCAATTATTTAATGCAGTTGAAAAATGTTGATATAAAGACTGATTGAAGGTCTTTGAATAATAATATTTTTAAGGGCATTTTCGAAACACTGATTTATTATTGATGGCATAAGGTGAAGGTGATGGTAGACTGACAACAAAGGTGATCAAGAATCAATCATAAGGTGCGTCAGCATGGGCTAGTTTATACTGACTGGGCAACTTTCCGCTGCGCTGTACGGCTCACCACCACTGTATACACACCATTTACCAGCTAACGAGACAGAACTTAAAGTTAACGTGCCTAAAGCTCAGTAATATAAACACTTAAATTCTATTGATAATGGTGGGTTAAATTTTGAATTAAAATGAGGATATAACAGAATTATTAACCATACACCCGGCAGCTAACTGGGCCATGCTGTCAGCACACCACCCCTTGACGGACTTATCTCTGTCAGTCATGTCAGTTAGTCAGGTTTGTATTCATAGAGAAATGCATAACACATTTAAAAAAAAAAAAAGGTTTGATTCTTGATGATGAGGAAGATGGTGAGGAGTAAATGTGATCTATAGTGTTTATGGTGAAACTAGTCAATTAAATGGTAATTAAGTGTATGATGATGGTGATGATGATGAGGTGATGATGATGATGATTATAATGACGTTGACCAAAAAAATTTAACGCCCTAAGACTAAGATGCGTAACGTAACATAAACTGCCGTGCGCTACAAGAAGAAAATAATCAAGATCACTGGTTCGTGTGTTGTATAATTAATTGTTGATACATTTTGAACGTATAGTGATAAAATAATCAGAGTGAAGAGAATGTGAATCAGTATTTGTCATAAACGCAGAAAAAGAAACAAGTAATAATATATATAGGAAGTGTCCTTCATCTACTCTTCAGTTTATCATTATTCTCTTCTGACTCTGACATTCATCATAAACACATCCGTTTTTTCTTGTTTTTCCGTAATGTATAGAGTCTTGTGTCGAGCATAATTATGTCGATTCCATTATTGGTAACTTGCATCAGTAATGTAAATTTACGTTGTAAATAACAGTATGAAAAACTGAGGTTTCTTTCCTTTCATAATTTTCCTATAAAATTTATTACCCAATATGTGTATGTAAACACATGTATATACACTTTAAACGCACACACACACAGTATACATGGGGCCTATATGTTATGGTAAATAGGGATGATTACTGGTAGCGATCACTCCTGTTGTATTCATATTTTGTGAAAAATTCTGACTAGCCATAAATAATAAGTTAGGCCGTAAAAATACATACAAATGAAAAGTTTCATACAAAACCTTACCTAAAGTAAAGTAACCTAACCTAACCTAACCTAATCAGCTTTCGATATATATGAAAGAGGGCAAATTTTAACATATACAAATTAATTTCGATTGTGTTCTAGTAATAAAAAAAAACTTTTCCCTATTAGGCAAACATTTCACTTGATTTTTAAGGATAAATCGGCAATTATCTTTATTTAGCGTACCGTGTGTGTGTGTTTATTGCGCTAATAGGGGTAATTGCCAATTAGCGATAACTCCTCTGTATTTATCCTTTAAAACTAGTAACTGGTAATAAACGGTCATGTAGGTCGTAAAAAAAAAAAAAAATATATATATATATATATATATATATATATATATATATATATATATATATATATATATATATATATATATATGCAAGTAAATCACTGTAGGTGAAGGAATCACAAGGAAAGTTTCAGTGCTTCACATCTCAGGGTGAGTGCTCACCCCTGAAGATGTGAATTACACGAGCGCTTGGGAACTTCGTGAATTCTCTTTCCTTGTGTAATATATATATATATATATATATATATATATATATATATATATATATATATATATATATATATATATACATATATTTATATATATTTATATATATATATATATATATATATATATATACATATATTTATATATATTATATATATATATATATATATATATATATATATATATATATATATATATATATATATATATATATATATATATATATATATATATATATATATATATATATAAATGTTTGATACAAAACCTAAAATTATGTTATGTAAGGCGTCGTTTACTATTATAAATTAGCACAAAATTATACCTAAAGTAGGTTAAGTTAGGTTAGGTTAGGTTAGGTTAGGTTAGGTATGGGTACGTTGTGTTAAGTTACTTTACGTTACGTTACGTTAGGTTTTGTACGATACTTTTCATTTATATGTATTTTTACGACCTACATGGTCGTTTATTACCAAATACAAGATTCTATAAGGGATAAATACATAGGAGTTATTGCTAATCGGAAATTATCCCGAATTGGTGTTCACAATACGCAGTTATGGCCAGGTTTAATGAGTGGCCTTGTATTGTTATCTACAATGGTCACTGAAGATGAGTGACGTAAATTCCTGATATGTTTGTTTGTGTATTAAAACATAAATAAAGACGTTTTCACTACTAAAGTTGGGAATTACTTAATTTAACAGGTTATATATAGTATATATATATATATATATATATATATATATATATATATATAATATATATATATGTATATATATATATATATATATATATATATATATATATATATATATATATATATATATATATATATATATATATATATATATATATATATATATATATATATATATATATATATATATATATATATATATATATATATATATATATATATATATATATATATATATATATATATATATATATATATATATATATATAAATTAATTATTCAGAAACCTTTTACTTCCACTCTAATTTACAGTGTAAGGCTGTAAGCCTGATGAATCGCTCGTAACATGATGCGCCTCTCAACATCATTAGCAAGGTACAGTACATTATGCAGGTCTTACCCAAAATAACTATTGTTGTATTATCCTCATTACTTACGATTACTGTTGTTAGTGTGACTCCCATCTTGTTTGTATTATATACCTCTGTTATTTTACACAATTCGCCATCATTACGTTTCATTCATATAATCTTCCTTCTGTTATCTTCAAAATACTTCTTGCGTCATTTGTCTTATGCATAATCTTTGTTCTGAATATTGCTCCTCCTCTTTATCATTATTGTCTACAAACTGATTACTAGACGGTACTAATATTTACCCCCATAGTATTTCATTTTTGGAATGTGATATAGAACAGTTGATTCACATGTTACGTTACGGTTCTGTATGAATGAATCATTCCTAGTGACCATTTATGTAGTTTAGTTTAAAACTAAAATTATCAGAGTTCTGTGAGAACAAGCAATACTTTATCATGGGTGTAACACACCGACACAAAATCATTCTCACCATTGTCAATTTACCTGCCTCTCTCTCTCTCTCTCTTCCCTTTAGTCTCTAACTTCCACATTCTTAACATCACATTTTTCAACCCATACAGTTATATACGCCAAAACCAAACTAAGCTCATAGCCACATGTAAATCCATTTCTCATCTGGTTATATATATATATATATATATATATATATATATATATATATATATATATATATATATATATATATATATATATATATATATATATATAGGGCTTAATGTTTAATAAAGTTTAGAGCGCAGCTCTGAAAATTGTCATTTTAACTATTATTTGATTTTTTAGTCATTTAAGCATTAAACTTGCCTTACCTAACCCAGCCGAACTTGCCCTAACCAAACCTAACTTAACCAGATCACTCCTAACCAAACCTAACTTAACCAGATCACTCCTAACCAAACCTAACCTAACATAATTATACCTAATATAATGACAATCTATAATATTTTCTTATTATTGTCCTAAGCAAACTAATGTTAGTTAATTATTCAAATTTTCAATGATTAACATTAGGTGGCGAGGTAACAACCCTGTTAGTCTCAGTCCAGAAAATATTGTCTGCGCTGTAAACACTTTCAAGCATTCAGCCCTATTTCGTGGAACACACACACACGTTACATAAGCCCCATTGTTATTCTCCTCTCTCTGGCTTAAGAGATAAAACTGGCAATATTCCTCGTCAAGCAAGAATGCCAACCGTATCTATCAAAATACCCAGACCACCAGTTATTTTTATCTCTTGATTGTTCTATCATATTCCTCTGTAGACACAAACTGTAGACTACCCTTATAAGCAATGGTTGTTAGGGAGACTTGCTGGCACTCGAGAGCCACTGTCCTGGCGTAAACTCACAAGGTCACAGTGCCACACAGTGTACACAAGAATTACCTAGAAATGGTACCCAATTTGCTTTAGGTTTGAGTACACATTAGTTCTTACAGTCAATATATTGTTTACAGTACATTAATTAAGCTTAAGTGTAAACAAGATGGTACTGTTAAACGTGCTATGAGTGTAAGCCTTGACTAGGAGGCGTCACAGAACCTTACATGTCACTAACCCTTTTCAAAGTGCGTCAGGCATTTTTTTTTCAATATGTGTTGTATATACAGTATGGTGTACATAATAGTTAGAATATTTATTTTTGTGTACTTGTATAGCATAATAGTCAATGTGTTACCCTACAGTAGTGAACAATGCCGGATTTTACATTATATTTCGTTAGTGATTTCCGAGTTTAAGCCAAGTTTTATACAATGTGAATATGATAAATCTTTCCGGAGAATGATACCAAAAATAAAACATACATTTGGAAAAGTTTCAAGACTACCGCAGGATGTATATTGCCATATTAGGCGCAAGAAATTCATAAATGTACAGATAAGAAACACTCAAGCGAAATATATACCCTTAACACATAATAATATAAATACTCTACTATGTGAAGAAAAAGTGCACACACATATAAATTATAAGAATGTATATGCTCAAGAATACAAGATGAAGTTTTATTCAAACATAATAAAAGTAAATTAAATATCATTTGTAGAAATATCATAAGTTTCTCTCAATATTCTCATTTTTTTTATACACTGATTCTCCCACTGTGTTTGAGGTACGTGTCGTGCAGTGTGTTTTTTTGAAGATGGGTTTCGGGCCTAGCATGGTATGGGAAGGAGCGCGGGAAATAAACATTAGATACATATTGTTTATTAGTATGAATATACTGTTGACGAAGTATTAACAAGTTCCAGGTTTGGTGATGACAACAATCATGATTATGCGGTTTTTTGTATTATTATTTAAAGAATCTGATTCTCCTCTTCAATATACTAAGTATTGGAATATATTCTGCTCTAGTCTAGTATGTGTAGTCATTGTACTTGCTATGTAAAATAATTAATTACAAGCAATTGATATTCATTATATTTTTTATATACACAAAATTATGTTGATTTGTCGACTTTGTGAAGTGTTGTCGATGTGGTCTCAAAACAAAATTGTTTTAATATTGAGTGTCGATGTCTTGGTTGATGTTTTAAACATGAGAAAGACACTTTAATGGTAAAAACTAATGACATGCCAAGTGTATATCGCCAGTGATCGACTTATCCCATAATACAACACTTTAGGTTACCATCTCCAGGTTACACTTATAGAAGTCTCCTCACTAGTATCAAACTGTTGACTTTATTACCTGCAATGGAGGACAATTGTACCAGGTGATGACTTGTTGTACCAGGTGATGACTTGTTGTACCAGGTGATGACTTGTTGTACCAGGTGATGACTTGTTGTACCAGGTTGTGACGTGTTGTAACAGGTGATAACACTGTACTAAGTGATGACTTGTTGTACCAGGTGATGACTTGTACCAGGTGACTTGTTGTACCAGGTGATGACTTGTTGTACCAGGTGATGACTTGTTGTACCAGGTGATGACTTGTTGTACCAGGTGATGACGTACAGGTGATGACCTTTGTACCAGGTGATGACTTGTTGTTCAGGTGATGACTTGTTGTACCAGGTGATGACTTGTTGTACCAGGTGATGACTTGTTGCCAGGTGATGACTTGTTGTACCAGGTGATGACTTGTTGTACCAGGTGATGACTTGTTGTACCAGGTGATGACTTGTTGTACCAGGTGATGACTTGTTGTACCAGGTGATGACCTTTGTACCAGGTGATGACCTTTTGTACCAGGTGATGACCTTTTGTACCAGGTGATGACTTGTTGTTCCAGGTGATGACTTGTTGTACCAGGTGATGACTTGTTGTACCAGGTGATGACTTGTTGTACCAGGTGATGACTTGTTGTACCAGGTGATGACCTTTAGTACCAATGACCTTTTGTACCAGGTGATGACCTTTTGTACCAGGTGATGACTTGTTGTACCAGGTGATGACTTGTTGTACCAGGTGATGACTTGTTGTACCAGGTGATGACTTGTTGTACCAGGTGATGACTTGTTGTACCAGGTGATGACTTGTTGTACCAGGTGATGACTTGTTGTACCAGGTGATGACTTGTTGTACCAGGTGATGACTTGTTGTACCAGGTGACTTGTTGTACCAGGTGATGATCAGTGACTTGTTGTACCAGGTGATGACTTGTTGTACCAGGTGATGACTTGTTGCACCAGGTGATGACTTGTTGTACCAGGTGATGACTTGTTGTACCAGGTGATGACTTGTTGTACCAGGTGATGACCTGTTGTACCAGGTGATGACCTGTTGTACGAGTGATGACCTTTGTACCAGTGACTTGTTGTTCCAGGTGATAACTTGTTGTTCCAGGTGATAACTTGTTGTTCCAGGTGATAAATTGATGTACCAGGTGATGACTTGATGTACCAGGTGATGACTTGATGTACCAGGTGATGACTTGATGTACCAGGTGATGACTTGATGTACCAGGTGATGACTTGATGTACCAGGTGATGACTTGATGTACAGGTGATGACGATGTACCAGGTGATGACTTGATGTACCAGGTGATGACTTGATGTACCAGGTGATGACCTGATGTACCAGGTGATGACGAGACCAGGTGATGACATGCCAGGTGATGACTTAGTGCCAGGTGATGACTGATGTACCAGGTGATGACTTGATGTACCAGGTGAAGATTTGTTGTACCAGGTGATGAGTTGTTGTACCAGGTGATGACTTTTACCAGTGTTGACTTGATGTACCAGGTGATGACTTGATGTACCAGGTGATGACTTGTTGCAGGTGATGACTTGTTGTACGAGGTGATGACCTGTTGTGAGGTGATGACTTGTTGTACCAGGTGATGACTTGTTGTACCAGGTGATGACTTGTTGTACCAGGTGATGACTTGTTGTACCAGGTGATGACTTGTTGTACCAGGTGATGACTTGTTGTACCAGGTGATGACTTGTTGTACCAGGTGATGACTTGTTGTACCAGGTGATGACTTGTTGTACCAGGTGATGACTTGTTGTACCAGGTGAAGATTTGTTATACCAGGTGATGACTTGTTGTGCCAGGTGTTGACTTGCTGAACCAGGTAATGACTTATTGTACCAGGTGATAGCTTTTGTACCAGGTGATAACTTGTTGTACCAGGCGATGATTTGTTGTACCAGGCGATGACTTGTTGTACCAGGTGATGACTTGTTGTACCAGGTGATGACTTGTTATACCAGGTGATGATTTGTTATACCAGGTGATGACTTGTTGTACCAGGTGATGACTTGCTGTACCAGGTGATGACTTGCTGTACCAGGTGATGACTTGCTGTACCAGGTGACTTGCTGTACCAGGTGATGACTTGCTGTACCAGGTGATGACTTGCTGTACCAGGTGATGACTTGCTGTACAGGTGATGACTTGTTGTACCAGGTGATGACTTGTTGTACCAGGTGATGACTTGTTGTTCCAGGTGAAGATTTGTTATACTAGGTGACTTGTTGTACCAGGTGATGACTTGTTGTACCAGGTGATAACTTGTTGTTTCAGGTGAAGATTTGTTATACCAGGTGATGACTTGCCGAACCAGGTAATGACTTGTTGTACCAGGTAATGACTTGTTGTACCAGGTGATGACTTGTTGTACCAGGTGATGACTTGTTGTACCAGGTGATGACTTGTTGTACCAGGTGATGACTTGTTGTACCAGGTGTTGACTTGTTGTACCAGGTGATAACTTGTTGTACCAGGTGATGATTTGTTATACCAGGTGATGACTTGTTGTACCAGGTGATGACTTGTTGTACTAGGTGATGACTTGCTGTACGAGGTGATGACTTGTTGTACCAGGTGATAACTTGTTGTACGAGGTGATAACTTCTTGTTCCAGGTGAAGATTTGTTATACCAGGTGATGACTTGTTGTACCAGGTGATGACTTGTTGTACCAGGTGATGACTTGTTGTACCAGGTGATGACTTGTTGTACCAGGTGATGACTTGTTGAACCAGGTGATGAATAATTGTTGTACCAGGTGATGACTTGCTGTACCAGGTGATGACTTGTACCAGGTGATAACTTGTTGTACCAGGTGATGATTTGTTATACCAGGTGATGACTTGTTGTACCAGGTGATGATTTGTTGTACCAGGTGATGACTTGTTGTACTAGGTGATGACTTGCTGTACCAGGTGATGATTTGTTATACCAGGTGATGACTTGTTGTACCAGGTGATAACTTGTTGTACCAGGTGATAACTTGTTGTACCAGGTGATGATTTGTTATACCAGGTGATGACTTGTTGTAACAGATGACTTGTTGTACTAGGTGATGACTTGTTGTACCAGGTGAAGATTTTGTTGTACCAGGTGATGACTTGTTGTACCAGGTGATGATTTGTTAACCAGGTGATGACTTGTTGTACCAGGTGATGATTTGTTATACCAGGTGATGACTTGTTGTACCAGGTGATGACTTGTTGTACCAGGTGATGACTTGTTGTACCAGGTGATAACTTGTTGTACCAGGTGAAGATTTGTTATACCAGGTGATAACTTGTTGTACCAGGTGATGACTTGTTGTACCAGGTGATGACTTGTTGTACCAGGTGATGACTTGTTGTACCAGGTGATGACTTGTTGTACCAGGTGATGACTTGTTGTACCAGGTGATGACTTGTTGTACCAGGTGATGACTTGTTGTACCAGGTGATGACTTGTTGTACCAGGTGATGACTTGTTGTACCAGGTGATGACTTGTTGTACCAGGTGATGACTTGTTGTACCAGGTGATGACTTGTTGTACCAGGTGATGACTTGTTGTACCAGGTGATGACTTGTTGTACCAGGTGATGACTTACTGTACTAGGTGATGACTTGTTGTACCAGGTGAAGACTTTTAGAACCTAGTGATAATGACTTATTGTACCAGGTGATGACTTGCTGTACCAAGTGATGACGTGTTGTACCAGGTGATGACTTGTTGTACCAGGTGATAACTTGTTGAACCAGGTGATGAATAATTGTTGTACCAGGTGATGACTTGTTGTTATAGGTGATGACTTGTGTTTACTAAGTGATGACTTGTACCTAATGTTGACTGTTTGTACTAGGTGATGTCGTGTTGTACCACGTGATGACTTGTTATACCAGGTTGATGACTTGTGGCACCTGGTGATGCCTTGTTGTATCTGGTGATGACTTCTGGTACCTGGTGATGACTTGTGGTACTTGGAGATGACTTGTACCTGGTGTCTACTTGTGGCACCTGTTGATGACTTCTGGTACCTGGTGATGACTTGTGGTACCTGGTGATGACTTGTGACACCCGGTGATGACTTGTGGTACCTGGTAATGAATTGTTATACCAGGTGATCACTTGTGACACCTGGTGATACTTGTGACACCCGGTGATGCCTTGTTGTAGATGGTGATGACTTCTGGTACCTGGTGATGACTTGTTATACTAGGTTGATGACTTCTGGTACCTGGTGATGACTTCTGGTACCTGATAATGACTTCTGGTACCTGGTGATGACTTCTGGTACCTGATAATGACTTCTGGTACCTGGTGATGACTTGTGGTACCTGATATTGACTTCTGGTACCTGGTGATGACTTGTGGTACCTGATAATGACTTCTGGTACCTGGTGATGACTTGTGGTACCTGATAATGACTTCTGGTACCTGGTGATGACTTCTGGTACCTGATAATGACTTGTGGTACCTGGTGAGGACTTCTGGTACCTGATAATGACTTCTGGTACCTGGTGATGACTTGTGGTACCTGATAATGACTTCTGGTACCTGGTGATGACTTGTGGTACCTGGTGATGACTTGTTGTACCAGGTGATAATTTGTGGTACCTGGTAATGACTTGTTGTACCAGGTGATAACTTGTGGTACCTGGCAGTGACTTGTTGTACCAGGTGATAACTGGTGGTACCTGGCAGTGACTTGTTGTACCAGGTGATCACTTGTGGTACCAGGTGATTACTTGTGGTACCTGGCAGTGACTTGTTGTACCTGGTGATGACTTGTGGCACCTGGTGATAACTTGTGGTACCTGGCAGTGACTTGTTGTACCAGGTGATCACTTGTGGTACCAGGTGATCACTTGTCGCACCTGGTGATGACTTCTGGTACCTGGTGATGACTTGTGACACCCGGTGATGACTTGTGGTACCTGGCAGTGACTTGTTGTACCAGGTGATCACTTGTGGTACCTGGCAGTGACTTGTTGTACCAGGTGATCACTTGTGGTACCAGGTGATCACTTGTGTTACCTGGCAGTGACTTGTTGTACCAGGTGATCACTTGTGGCACCTGGTAATGACTTGTTGTACCAGGTGATCACTTGTGGTACCTGGCAGTGACTTGTTGTACCAGGTGATCACTTGTGGTACCTGGCAGTGACTTGTTGTACCAGGTGATCACTTGTGGTACCTGGCAGTGACTTGTTGTACCAGGTGATAACTTGTGGTACCTGGTAATGACTTGTTGTACCAGGTGATCACTTGTTGTACCAGGTGATCACTTGTTGTACCTGGTGATAACTTGTGGTACCTGGCAGTGACTTGTTGTACCAGGTGATCACTTGTTGTACTAGGTGATGACTTGTTGTACCAGGTGATAACTTGTGGTACCAGGCAGTGACTTGTTGTACCAGGTGATGACTTGTTGTACCAGGTGATCACTTGTGGCACCTGGTGATAACTTGTGGTACCAGGTGATAACTTGTGGTACCTGGCAGTGACTTGTTGTACCAGGTGATCACTTGTTGTACCAGGTGATGACTTGTTGTACCAGGTGATAACTTGTGGTACCAGGCAGTGACTTGTTGTACCTGGCAGTGACTTGTTGTACCAGGTGATCACTTGTGGCACCTAGTAGGAATTTGAAGACAAAAATATGTTGTATTCTTTATGTAAGCAATTGTGACCATGACAAATAAAAATGATGTTTTTCAATGATATTTTCTTAACCACATCATTACCTTAAGTATTTTCTTGTCAAACCACTGCACTCAAAGTTAGATCTGAGGATCCTGTTGCCATTTCTGGGTGTGAATACTGACAATCCTCATTGTTTTATAGATAGTCACACAATCTCATGAAGGATTCATGATTAGAACTTGCCACTGAACATCTGGATTGCCAGCAAGCTGCTTTCCACAGATGAAATGCGCCCGACAATCATAACGGTATCCCCCTCCAGCAGCGATAAGGTGAGAAATATTTAGCAAACTAAATTTTTCCATTGCCCCTTATTCATCATTACTTTTATTAGCTTCCGTGACACTTGATTGCAAAAATGTTAGTGTATCAACTTCATGACTTAGCTCACATTTTTTCAATGGTATTCTTGATCTTTTCCTTTATAATCTTCCATGGGCTTATCACAGCACAAACAGTCAGATTTTATATCGAAATGTAAAACTTGTGATTGGAGTTTTGAAGATGCGTCTTCTTTGTCAGTTGACTCCCCTTCTCTCTGAATTTTGCAAGGAGCAATATTTGATGGCTGTTTGTAGTATCGCCGACATTTGACATGAATGGGGATTGGCAGTCTTTTTCACCAGTTTTGTATGAAGGCCATCACCTGGCTCAGCACTGAGACTCAAGATGCTTGCCAGACACTTGTTATCGTCTGTTTACTTGTTGTAATCACTGATGACGATCCTGTAGAGTCAGTATTAAAGGTACACTGGAAGTAACAAAGAAATGTTTAAAGGTTAAGTTGTCAAACCCAAATGGTCTTTTCTCCATTTATTAAGAAGATAAGCTATTGTATAATAACTAGAGTTAATAAGGGACGAAGTGTATATGTAACGAGCTTCGTGAACACATGTTTGACGTGGGTGAGAGACGGGTAAAGACTGGCTAGAAGCTGGCTGCTTAAGTGCTGTCACACAAATTCAAGATGTGGGGTTTAATGGAAAAACACTGTCACGTGTACATTTATGACTACTGACTGCTCATAGTCTAGTTACCATGGGTGATGGGATTATATAAATATAATGTATGCAGTCCACATTTATAAAAGGGGCTAATACAACCTTCTTGTTTGATATGACCAAGATCGGAGGTAATGAGATAGCCATAGAAATCGCTCATCCTCTCCATTGTCACTCAAGGACTGAAAAAAAGAGGAAGTGTAATAATCTTGAGACAGGTTTATCAGCTTTCACATACGGTATCTAATGGAAGTCATATTGAAATAGAAATCACAACATGGCTTCTTTCAGACTTTTCTAAGAATTGAGACATCACAATGAAGGAATATTTGATTTAAGGTGATAAAATTAACTCAATATAGACGCTCATCATTTCATTGAATTATTGTGATAAGTAATAACATGGTAATAACTCTAAGTGTTTTACAAATATTTACATCTTAGATTCTGACTTTTCCTTAAGTGGTATGTTAGGGGACTTTACTCCTTTAGCAATTCTAAAAAAAAATCGACTTTCTACATTTTTTCTATGTTAAAGCTAATACTCTTGTACTATCAGCCTATCAAACTAGAAATAGGCTGCAGCAGCATCTTTGCTTTATATAAATATTCACCCAAATGAATAATACCAAGGATTTCACCATGTTATTCAACAAGTGGGTCAACCTGTTATTGGCGACAAACACTTAGCTTGCAACAACCTCAAAGGTCGAGCGCAGATCAGCTGATTAATCAAAACAGCTGAGTCGCTTCCACGCCTCTCCCAGACAGAGAGAGGCCAGTAGATTCTTATCACTTGAACACGGAAGTCAGACTCGTAACTCAAATGCTATCTTTAAGTGTGTTTTTCCCCGAAGAGAATTCATAAGTTATTCTCTCAGATTATATCTGTGTATATAGTTGCTTCTACAATAAATAAGAAAACGGCAAGAAGTGTTTACCTAAAACCCAGCCACTTAGAGAATTCCAGCACTTAATTAAAAATAATAATGTGATACCAAAGAACTATTACATTTAGTGACAGGAGTGAGACGAATACTAAAACCTAGTGCAGTACTCAGAAACAATAATTATTGATGACCCAAGTGGCCCTTTAAGTGAATCATCAACAAACAAGCATTTTCAAGAAAAAATAAGTGGACAGTGGTTATAAACACATGCAAAGTGTATACACATACATCCAGTGGCAATAAAGACATTATACAGCTCATGGTCACCCGACTGGAGTCGAGATCAACCTAGCCCACCCGAATGTTGTCTTAGTGTTGCAGCCAGCTAACGGCCAGCAACCAACAGCCAACACTACAACACAGGAGTACTAGGAAGGTTGGCATCGTTGTTGCAGACAAGCAAGCAAGCTCTTGCTTAAACAATCAAGCCTCTCCAGTGCGCATGAAAGGTCAGCCCCAGGTTGATCGCCGCAAGAAAGGTCAGCCCCAGGTTGATCCCCGCAAGAGAGGTCAGCCCCAGGTTGATTCCCGCAAGAAAGGTCAGTCCCCAGGTTGATCCCCGCAAGAGAGGTCAGCCCCCAGGTTGATCGCCACAAGAAAGGTCAGTCCCCAGGCTGATCCTCGCAAGAAAGCGTCAGCCCCAGGTTGATCGCCGCCCCAAGAAAGGTCAGCCCCAGGTTGACGCCCAAGAAAGGTCAGCCCCCAAGTTGATCGCCCCAAGAAAGGTCAGCCCCAGGTTGATCCCTCGCAAGAAAGGTCAGCCCCAGGTTGATCCTCGCAAGAAAGGTCAGCCCCAGGTTGATCTCTCGCAAGAAAGGTCAGCCCCAGGTTGATCCCCCGCAAGAAAGGTCAGCCCCAGGTTGATCCCTCGCAAGAAAGGTCAGCCCCAGGTTGATCCCCTGCAAGAAAGGGGTCAGCCCAGGCTGATCTCGTGGTGAAAGCCAGCCCCAGGTTGATCCCCGCAAGAAAGGTCAGGCCCCAGGTTGATCCTCTCGCAAGAAAGGGGTTCAGCCTGGTTGATCTCTCTAAAGAAAGGTCAGTCCCCAGGTTGATCCCCGCAAGAGAGGTCAGCCCCCAGGTTGATCGCCACAAGAAAGGTCAGCCCCAGGTTGATCCCCGCAAGAAAGGTCAGCCCCAGGTTGATCGCCACAAGACGTGTGACGTCATCCTTCCCAGAGTAGGACGTCATCAACTTCTGACGTCACTATCCGGCGTCGAAACTCTACGGACTCTTCGGTCAGGTAGATCACAAACAATCATTATTTTACAGACTACACAAACACAAGTGAACTTCAAGAAGTCTTCACACGTAGTTAATATAAAATAAACTATATGTACAACGGCCTACAAGCAAAACTAAATAAACACATTTACAAAGAAAGAGAGGACTTAAATACTTTTCATACTTTTTAATCCCTTTTAATAATTTTAATTCTCTTTCTCTTCATTTCCATAACTTATTATAAATACATTTTTTGCATTACTCAGTGAGTTGGCAACGTAGTGAGTCTTATACAGTGAGGGAAGTGATAAATATTCCTGTATATGGACCCTCTTCCACAATTTGGGAGTCTCAAACAGGAAATTAGTGACTCAGATGACCAGTCATCTACATATTCACAGGAGCTAGTGGCAACTGATAGTGAAGAATTACCACAAATTAGCCCAATAGAGTTAACACCTACTGACTCCATAACTAGCTGTGAAAATTTCATAGATTCTGTGTTCGAGGACTTACACAGTAGACAACTTAAGTCAGGTAACACTTATTCATTACCTTTACCTGTTAATGATACTATTGCTCTAACGAACATAACAAAAATGGCAACAGGTGGTTCTACTAACCCACAGACTTCATCGGTCTGTCAAACTGTAAAAATACTTCCAAATAACATTACGGTACAAAAATTTACTGAAGAAGATGCAGATTATACTACCTTAAAATTTTTGCGTAAGTGCGAAGACGTAATGTGAAGCAATAATGTTACTAATGATGGGGATAAAATCCTTTACGTCCGAAGCAACGTCAACACCAGTAGTCGGTCAGATAGAATGATGTTTGCTTTAGCCTTTGATGAGGAAACAGTTGACTATCAAACGCTTAGGAAACAATTCATATCCTTTTTCGGGTCAGGAACAAAAGGAGGTGCACTTACTTGGATTTTCAAGATGGCAGAGCGTACAAGTATCAGTGTGTTTGCTCACGATACACAAGAAGCACAGGCTTTAGCTGGACACACTATGATGGATCTCAAAACTTACATGACATACTCAAATTGGTTTGATGATGATGATGGAAAAAAACTAAGGAAAACTTCTACAAGATCATTGAGCTCCTACAGTTTATCCTGGTGCTACAAGAAACTACACGCAAGGCAACCAGAAAGAAGGAATGTAAACTCGGGATTAAGCTTGCAGATTACGTTGACGAAATTTCTGATCCGGTGGAAACTACTCCTACGGATCTGTCAGTAGCACCTGTAAGCAGTTCTAAGAAACAACCACAAACTACCACCGGAACGAAACCCAAAAAGGCACCTTTTTGCAAAATCTGCAAACGTAAGGGACATGCCACAGATAATTGTTGGTTTGGAGGACAAAAGGACAAAAACCCATCTAGCCCGCAGCAAGACCAAGGGAGAGGATCCTCCCTGGACTTTAAAAATCCAAAGTATCCTACTAAACCAAAAAGTCTAAAAGGAGATTACACAGCAAATAAAATGCCTACAAGCACTAAAGGCACTCCGAATAAATGGTGTGTACTATACACGAGTCTCCATACTACAATACAGAAGATTGCAGGAACCTACTGTAGAGGCTTTGACTTTGGGATATAAATCCATTGAAAGCTTCATCAGGATCTTATAAAAGGAAAGTCAAGACCCATGGGTTTCCAAGGGGTAACAAACTACCGTTAGAGATTGACATCTCTTTACTACGAAAATAATCACAATAATTGACACCACTCACCCAAATATTACAAAAACAAATAGGGGAGTCAAACAATTAATGGAGTCAAACAATTAAGGGAGTCAAACAATACGGGAGTCAAACAATTAATGGA